TGAAAAGAAACAGAAAAAAGAAAATACTTACAAGTAACAATGCCAAATATCAGCTTTGTGTCCTGAGATAACAGCTTCAAAACACAACAGCTGCCTAAAGAAGCAGGCCCTTTCAAAACTGAAAAGACTATTTGAAGAAACCAGTCCCAATAGTCCCATAAGCACAGATCAAAACACAACAGTGCTGGATGTTGCCAATTTGTTGCTGACAATGCTTTGTGTCACTACCCTCATTTAGGCACACAAGATGGAAAACACAGTCGTAATACCTAGTTATATCTAGTAGCCTCTGCTCTTTGTGGCACTTCATTTTTGGTATAAATCTACTCTACATGCCATATCCTTTTGTGAGAGGCAGGGACCCGGGGCTAAATGTATATAAGTATCACTGAGATACATCCTTTAGCCTTGAATCCAAGCGAGGAAGTATTACTCCATTTTTAAGTGCAGTGAGATAAGAGCACACAGCCAAATGCCATCTCCATTAACAGCCCTGCCTGCGGAAAGCATAATGGTGCACAGAGCACAAAGGCACTCACTCGAGCGGCAGCGGAGCAGCCTCCTGCGCACTTCCAGCGCCGGAGACCGGAGCTCTGCACCATGGCTCCCAGCCCCAGACAGCCCGGGGTTCTGTTTGGGAACCCAGCAGAGGGCACTCCGAAACCAGCGCCAGGAGAAGAACTCCTGGGCGGCTGGGCAGAAGTCGCATTGGGATCTCGTTCCAGAGGTTTGTGGTTGGAAGCCTGGCCGGTTTGCTTCCGCTCATGCAGGGGCATTCAGAGAGAGAGGAAATCCTGACACAAAATGAGCTTTCTGGGAAAAAAGCAGAGACATTCAGGGGCACATTGCTCCCCTGATGCATGTTTGGTTTGCCAGGGGAAAAAGTGATAGTTTTCCGTGTCCTCCAGCTCATGGCTGTGGCTGCAACTGCAGTATTTCCGCCAGGTTTGCTGGCAGTGCCTAAGAGTTAGGGATTGTATTTCAATATTTATTAAAAAGAAAGAATATAGGGAAGGATAAAAAATATCTTGGTTTAATGGGAAGGAAGAAGGAGAATGAGGAATTTGCAATCTGTGCTTTCCTTTGCATTTCTGTGCAAACTGGTTGCTTACTGGTTGATATCCCCTCTCTCAGCCATCCAGCCTGACGAGCCCGTGTTGCCTTTCAACCATACTGCAGAGCAAAGGAAGTTTAAAACTCCATCAGTACTCACCAAAAGCATTCAGCAGTGCTTCTTAGTCACCTCTGCCTGTACTGCCCTGTTGCTTCTCAGTAGCTTGTGCCCCTAAATAATTAGAACTACCGTGGAGATTTAATTCTGGCTTTCCCATTTCAGAGCTGTCCTCTGCTTTCAACATGGCATTGTATTTACTGAATACTCTATCCCTGGACCTTCCACCTTTCCAGGAAAGTTACTTTAGGATTTTGCCAAACATGCTGGGGTAAGGCAGAGGCTGGACAGGGAGGAAGTCAGGCATTGCACCTTCTTCCCAGCACCCACGGCTCTGAAGTGTGCCAGCTCACCATAATCTTCCTGCCCCTTGCCAACGAGTAACTGCCTCTCCACAGGCAAACATCACAACAAAGATGTAAGAAAGATTTTGTTAAACATTTTGGGAAATAGGGTGCCATTTAGAAATGAATCCCAAAGGTTCCGGGAGGGGTAGAACTGGCAGAAGGGAAAGTGATTAGGAGACACACACAGTTCTGAGCCTAGCCCAAGAAACATGGGGGCCTGGCTCCCTGTGCAGGACTGTGCCGTGGGATGGAGATGCACACACAATCTCTATTCCACCCTTGGTTTTTATGTCTGCAAGAAGAGATGAAAAACTTCCCCTTGCCCACCGGAAAGAAGTGACAGGTATGAAACAAACCCCAGCTGACTTTGGGGGAATAAAAGCACTAAAAATCAATTCTGTGTATGCTCCTTTGGATTCAGCTCCAGTTAAAATTGCCTCTTTCTATTGATAGGTCTGCTTATGTCTGTTGTGCTGGTAGCTCAGATCGTGGCTCAGCCTTGCTACACAGAGGCTTGGCCATCTAGTGTGGGGTGTTTATGTTCTCAGGTTTTGAATTCTTGCAAGTGATTTAAGGAAATAAATCTGATTTAGGAACTTTTAAGAAAAATTATTACTTGTAAGAGACACAGACGGATTGCAAACAAAGGGCTGGTTCCTGCTCCTGTTGAAGGCATGAAGTTGAGGCAGCAGAGTTCATTCCTGACTGCTTTAGGTTTTCAGGGACAAGGAATGAAGTAAGAGCCAGCTGTAAGGGCAGAAGCAAGCACTGACTTGCTATGAGACCCTCATGATCACCTCTGAGGGGAGAAATGCATCTTGCAGCTTGTAAAAAAATTTATAAGAGGATACCTGCACCTTCTTCTTCATGAAAATGAGCAAATTCCAGAGTGTTTCTTTTGCTGCCTGCTATTGCCATTTGCTTCGGCTTCATTTCACGTGCTGTCTCACACAATAGCCTCCAGGGATTCTCAGGGAAAAAAATTTAGCTGCCTCACCTTCTGTGCCCAACTCCTGCCTCTCTGCAAGAAAATTATTTGCTGCTTTCCTAACAAAGCAGCATCAGTTGTCACTGTAGTTAAGGTTATGTCAACACTTCCATTATAAACTCCTCTTGTCAGGAATTTACAAGTCGGCTGTAAAAATTCCCTTTGCACTTAATTCTGGCATAGGCGAAAAAGCCCCAGGAGCACATTCAAGAAAATCAACATTTACGCATTAGATTTAACACTTTCCAAGAAATGAAAATTTCAGTGCTAATGCAGACACTATCATCAAAGACCTAACCAATGGCTCCAGTGATTGTGTGAATCCTCTGCTCACCTTGGAATGCCCTGCACTCCAGTGTTGCAAATAAGGAAACAACACTTGAGTGCTACCATAGGAATAAGAACAGAAGTCCCCGGAAAAATCCTTACCTATTTATCCTGCAGGGATTAAAATGCAAGCCATCCTGTTTATTGAGGGATACATCCTGGCCCTCATAGCAAGAAGCTCTGTTTAATGTACAAAGGTTTTGCAGGAGCTGAGGAAAGATTACTTGTATCTGTCTAAAATATTTACCTCCCTTTCATCCTCATCAGAGCCCCTTGTAATCACCAACACATTTAGCTTTTCTGGTACACTACTGCCATTTATTTTCATTTCAGAAAGAGAACAGTGCTACGGCGAGAGGTCAAATGATTTGCCCAAGGTTGCAGAGGACAAGCCTCTACTCTGAAAAGGCACTAACACCCGTGCCTGGGATCCACCCTAGCAGATCCTCCATCCTCTCATGGCTTGCGAAGGAGTAACAGCAATTTATTGTCCTTAATACAGCTCTGAGCCGGCAGTTTCTTCTGTCCTCCCCAGGCTACTACTTGGCAGGATTTAATAGTTACTAGCTTCATCCTCCCCCTCTACTTTCAATCTTGCTTTTTTTTTGGTTTAAGAGGAGCCTGAAAAAGTCTGAATTTGTCCCTGGGGAAGTCAAGAGAGCCCATGTATGAGCTCCCCAAATCCTTTGCGTATCAGAAATGTTGCTGCTTACAGGTTGAAACAGAGGCTAGGATTTGCTCTACACACAGAGGGGTGTGCTTTTACATTTTGTCTAGTCCCATATGGAAACTGAGGAGTACAGGGCACTAAGGTAAGCTGTATGTCTTGAGGGGAAAAAAAGGGGAAGGCCAGAAGGAGGAAAAATAAGATACAGAATTAGCAAAAGTGTTGTCAAGACAGTCTTTAGTTAATTTTCAAATGCTACAGGAAATCAACTGAAAGAAATTACAATAATCCAGGCAGAACTAGTGCAGCTTCAATAAGACCACATTTTAGAATGTATGATTCCAGCTCTCTAAACTCTTCCACATACTTAATGCATGCAAATATCTACAGCCATGCATATGACTCTGCAAAGTTATGCTCATGTTTGCAGTGTTGCAAGCCACATTTTAAACAAAGACTTAGATCTCTATCTTCTACCTTCATTTAATTGCACTAGTACATGCACAGGGAATGCTGGTGACAGCTGAGGAGGACAAGGAGTAACCCTGTGACAATGCAGGTCCAGTTCTGAGCAAAGGACAGTGTAAGTCTGCAAAGAAAAGTGCTGAATTCCGAGTAACAGAATCAGGCCCGAGAAGCGCAAAAGGAATTTACAAAGCAAGATTTTCTGTAATATGGTCCATTGGCTTTTGATAATAAAAACCACATTGTAAATGGCCAAGAAATTAATCTTTAAAAGGCAGCTGTAGCCCATGTGTATTAACTATGTATTTCAAAGATGTTTCCTCTGGATTTCTGTTACCTTCTTTAATACATGTTTCCAGCCAGCAGAGATGTTATGCTCTGTGGGCGAAACACAATATGCATTTTGAAAACATTTATAAATATGTATACACCCTATGGATTCACACGGCACTGTAGGAGCTGTGCTCTGGTCTGCCTTCAAATAAAGGCAGTCTTTAAAAAATAATTACAAATATACTAAGGTGTACGTCGAACACAATGCATGGGGATTTAGCCACATCAATTTCATTAGCGCTAATGAGAGGTGTGCAGCTAAAGCCCAGCATATCAAGATATCATGCATAAAGAGAAGCCTGTCTAATGATGTGTTTACTTATTAAACCAGAACATCTCTGAAGGGCATGCATGTTTATCTATTTTTATTTATCCCTTTCCAAAAGAAATTAAATGCGCACATTCACACACACACACATGCATCTCTATTGTGTAGAACACAGAATGTCTGCATTTTTATACATTAATATAGCAAAAAAATCAATTAAAATTCTTTTTTTTTTTTTTTTTTGCAATAGGCAAGATTAAAATATCCCTTGAGGTTGCAAACCAGAAACATGCAAATAATTTGATGATGTCGAATGGCACTTTTGTGCTAGAATAAACAGGTGTGATCATAAAGGCGTCAGTGGTATGTTTTAGTAGAGCTGAGATTGTGACATGCAGCATGACTCAAAGCTGGGAAATTCCCAGCTCACCTACCTCGTTTCCTCAGCTCTCACTTTCGCCTTTATAAAACTTCCTTCCTCTTCTCACCAGTGGGGCATGTAGAGGGCACACAGTCTGAGTTAAGGGAAAGCCTTAGTTCTAGTGCATGTATGTGCATCAGAAACTAGGTATTTTTCATCAGTTTCGTTAATTTCTGGACATGCAAGGATGCAGTTTCTGCAATTGTTTATTTTCTTCTCTTGATTACAAGTAGCTTCCTTTTCTGAATAGCTATAACATGCATTTGCTGCCAAGTTCAGGGTCTGAAGATGTTGCTCCAATGCATCATTTGAACACTTCGATGCCATCTACTAGATCATTGTGTTAGGGGCCAAGTTAGGGCCAGCAGGGTAAAGGCAATTTATAACCCACATAGTGACATCAATCTAACCTAGCAACCTCCCTAGCAACACTGCCAAAGCATCACAATGTGGCCCCTATAGCTTAGATGATATGAAGATAGTAGCATTGTTAGGGTGGGAGGTTGCCACTTTGGCCTAGCAACAAATAACAGCCTGACCTTGGGATCTATTGAAAGCTGAGAAGCCAAGCAGAACAGAGGGAGAACCACCAAATGAAACCCCATGGGTTCCTGCCTGTTTCTTTTATGTAACCTAAACAAATTCTTCGGAGAAAAATATGGCAATGCTTACAGACATGCTGCATTCATGTATATTCAGCATTGCTTTAGCTGGTTAAGCTGGTACATCTTTTATGTTGTGGTTTGGAAATCATAAAACCCAGGTGCAGAAAAAGGATGAGTATAGAAATCACTACAGCCAGCTCAGAGTGGTGATAAACACATTGCATATTGCTGTTGAAGTGCACTGATATGTAAGGGCTCACACATCAGGACACGCAGGGTAATCCAGGAGCCCCAGACACACTGGGGTTTGGACTCACCCAAGAAATCTAGCTGTAGCCATCTTATATGCAGCATTTTGTCACTGAAAATAACAAAATGGATATAATTCATACCCCCCCCCCCCATTCTCTTTCTTGTTACCTCATTCAAATGAGCCCCCTATACATGTCATTGTGCCAGTTCTGTCCATGCAGCTGCCGAAGCAAGGTAGTATTTTTCATTCCCATATAGACATCAACTGTAGGACATCCTCTTAAAGACACTCTGGAGCTATAAGGAGTTGCACCTGAGCTGCTTGATGTTTCCAGTTTCTAACAATGATCCCATACTCCTGGTGTTTGTAATTGAATACCATTTACAGCATCTTGACAGTTGCTGTGATTCAGAAGTGATTCAAAGACAATTGAGGGAAACAAATGAGAAGTATGAAAAAAGCAAGCGATGCATTTGTTTCTGTACAGGTAGCCCTGAATCAGTGTGTGGTGGTGGAGGTTACCTGATGCTGAGCTTCCAAGCACCATTCAGTCTTAAGAACATATATAACAGTATTAGCCCAGCAGTTCCTATGGAACTCACAACCCTTGTAATCTCAAAGCTATTCTGTATAGTGCCCACTTTTAAGCCCAACCAGAGGGGATAATTCACCTCCCCCTCCCCATTTGCTGGTTTAAGCTACCAGCTGGCCAGTGTGGAGAAGCTCAAATTGCAGCTGCCTTCACCCTCTTCAGCATTCAAGATACACAGATGACTTTGGTCTGCAGCAACTACATATTGAATATATATTTTCAAAAATGTAATTTCTTTTGTTAAATGAAACATACCTGCACGTATGTGTGGTTCTGCATGTGGGTGAGTTTACACACATGTTTATGTGCGATTACATAAACTGAAAAGGGGATTTTTTTAGCTTTTTAATGCCATCCGTTTTGTGCCTTGTTTCCCCCTTGTGTAACACTTGGTATCACTTTCAGTTTATAACTTCTCTTGAGAGAGTAGCCACAAGCCACAAATAGTCAATTGTCTACTTACAGCAGACTTCAACAAAGGGACTGATAGAGCTGAACTGGAAATGGCACGTCTATACTGCAGTCACTGCTACAGCAACCACAACTGCAGTTTTGGTTAACACAAAGTCAGGGGCAATTTATCTTATAAAACCTTAGCACAAGTTCCATCACAGAATAGAGCATTTGTCCATTAGCTCCATTTGTATTTTCAGTCAAGACCATGACAAACTCAAAGACATTGTATGAAGTGTGTGAGAGTTTGTTCCTTTGCATGTTTCTTAAATTACAAGCTTTAAATGCATTGAAGAATAGTGAGGATTGGGAGAAACCTCTCATGTCCCAGAGCCACTTCATCCATTCCATACTTTTTCAAACTGAAACTGGCCAGCTGGATTTTTTTAATCCCTTGAATTTCCCATAACAGCCCTTGTTGGAATTATGTGCATCTGAATGGTAAAGCAGAAGGGCACAGTGGTAACCCAAGCAGGATGCCTACCTCCCTGCAACACAGACCTGCTGGGATTCCCACAGATGTGAAGAAAAATGAAATTTCAGCTTCCCAAAGCTTTCTCCATGTATTTCCCATTAAGCTTCTTTGTAACAGTGATAATCTTTCTCTAACCCTAATGTTGGCCACAGCCTGCTCCCCAGGGAACTGCTCCACATCAGTAAGTGAGCCCTCTCTCCCCTTTTCCATCTCATTTCCTTCCCCCTTTGAACCATACTTCCGGAAGGAGGGAAGGGTATGGAAGTTACTCCTCCATGCAGGGCTGCCAGAGAATGAATGGTCAGTACTGGCTGCATGTCTTTCCCTTGGCACCACGTTCTGCCAATCTGTGAAACGTAAGGTGTGAAACACACTTGCAAAAAAATAACCAAGCAGCAGCTCATTTCCTCCTCCCTCCTCATCGCCCTGCACCTCTGAAACTCCAGCCTGAGCTCTCACCAGTCCTGGCCACAGTCTTCAGAAGCACCAGCTCTGACTGTCCTCTGCCTTCCCACTGCAAATCCAGCCCAGAGCAAGCGCCTGGTGTAATGAGTAACCCAGGGCAGATCCGACAGCACCCAACACCAGGAAACCTACTTGATTTCTCTGCTTACAAACTTCAGTGTAGTTCGTTTTCCCAGTTCTTAAACTAAGCAACTGAGGCAAATACCAGAGTCAGGCTCAGCTACTTAAGAGGAGACAGAACACTCTTCCACAAATAGTTCAAGAACCAGGCAATACTTTTAGATGAGAGAGGTTAGGACTGCCTTGCATGGATGTCTGTATGTGTGCAAATTTAACATTTTTAATAGCCAAGCTTTTTCTTACATGAAACCAGAATTTAAAAATACATACACCTTCTTAAATGCTTCAGATTCCTGCGCCTTCCTCTAGAGATCATGCATGACTAACATTGAAGCTGGGCCATTACAACCAAAAGAAATGACTGATTCCAATGAGCAGACCCTGATCTGAGCACTGGTGAGCTCTTGAGAGATTACAGCTAATTTGGGATGTTTGGATCTGTTCCACCAGTGAAAGGGAGGATGATGGATGCAGAATCTGATAGATGAAGGTAGACTTCATCTATATTCAATGCAAATTTAGGTGCCTCTAAATCAGGGTATGTGAGCACTTGGGAAAACACAGGCTCACCCGAACACATTCATTCTTGCACAGGAGTGAAAAAGAAGTGGTGCTGCGTTTGTGAGAGGAATGCAGCTATATATAAGGATCCCCAGTGCCTGTGGTTAATGCCAAGGTCAGCTCCAGCTGACACCGGTGCCCGAGGCTATGGGGGAAGGGATAGCTGTACTCTATAGCGAAGCCACAAGATGTCAGGAGACTGCTGTGCTGCTGCTGCTGCTGTACTGGTCCTGGTGCACTGGGGCTTGGCAGGCACTAGGGCTTGGGAGCAGCCTGGAATCTCCTGCCATCAGTTTTCAGGTCAGCCAGCTTCTCCCCTGTTCTATCCCGTCTCCTTCCTGTGCCACTTTGTTTCTTGATGAAAAGGTTTGGGCAAGAAAATGAAGAATTCTCTCCCTTTTGATGGCTTTTCCCAAGTCCCTGTTTTACAGCTTGCTAAATCCCCTGCTGTATAGCAACATGCAGCTTTCTCTATGATATCTCACTTAATATGGTTAATTGTGTTTGTGTTCTCCACAGGGTTCTTGGCAGTTACAGCATACTATGAGGTCAGTGATTCACCTCCCTGTGTTCAGAAACCTCCTCCCAGTCTCCCCACATGAAACTGGAAACTAGTCATATGTGAGAAAACAGCAGTTTGCAAGAACGCTTACGATAAAAGGGTAAACAAGATCTTACACAGAACCATAGCACTGTTCCCCCTTCCAGACTGCAGCAATCAACATCATTCACTTCTCTGCCCCGCTGCTGCCATGGGCATTAGCACCCATATTTCAGAGTCACCTCTGCAGCTGAAATAATGCTCCACATTGTCCTCACTGTCCTGAAGAAGTGAAGAACTGTGCCTGCTGTCATAAATAAACCCCTGCTCCACCACTGACCCAGTGGATAATAGCTCTGCACAGCCAAAGCTATTTCCACATTTGGGGATCCTCAGGACTCGGAGGAGTAGGCTGAACTGAAGCATGTGCTCTCTCACACATAGTCTCCAGCAGCTTAGCACCAATCTATGCCATCGTTCAACCCGTCTGGTGGCTATTTATGGAAGCACTTGAGAATTTCAAGGAATTTTAATATACTTTGAATACCCTTGAAGCCAACCTGGTCGTTTTGCTGGGAACCAGCATGCTGCTGCCTATGGTTCAGGCCTTGCTTAAGGTTAAACAGCTAATAAAGAATGCCACCATGCTTTATACACTGGATATGATTGTTTCCACAGTGGCCATACACCCATCACTGTGCTGGCTGCCTTGTGGCACCCATCTCCACTGCTCCAGATTTGAGGATCTGAACCTGACTCCCTTTTGATCACCACATGAATGAAGAATTAATTTTGACAAAACTGGGCAAGTGCAGCAGTGATGGGATTGGAATAAGCTTCAGCATGCAACAATCCACCACCACACACCATCCATCTTTCCTGCCCAAAGAGATTCATGAGAGATGGAGCTCCAAGTCATGGACTGAATGAACTCTAACAAACATTTGCAGGGATGGTCCACAGACTACGGGAATAATCTCTCTGTGTGTGTATACATATACATATATATGTATATATATTATGTACACA